ATGATCCTGACTTCAAATTTCATTGTTCGCGCTCTATCGGTTCACCCAAATCCAAATTGTACCAACTATAGTATGATTTATTTTCGTACACATGAGTAAAAAAATCCAAAACTACGTACATTCCCAATCCTACACTCAGACGAAAATGTTAATTTCAAATTTCAGGATTCCAGCTCGATTTGTATATCCAAATTGTGTACCAAATACAGTACCGTATAGTACTTTTTGTACACATGAGTACACGCTTTCAAAACCATCTCCTTAAATAGACTCTACATCTCAACCCTAACTCGCATACCAAATTTCAAGTTTTTGGCTCTATCAATTCACATGCTACGAAAATGTACCAAATTAAGTACATTTTAGTACTTTTCGGATATTTATAGTTCGAATTTCCAAAAACCCTTTGGTACATCTATCCTGCACTCAGCGACCACCAATCCAAATTTCAGAGTATGGTATCACATTTAGTACTTTTTAGAACATTTCGTACCGTTCTAGTACGAATTTCCAAAAACCCGTTCGTACATCTTCTAACTTTTCGCACCCTTCCAGTTCGAAATTCCAAAAACCCAGCCTTATCTCTCGCCTACACACCAACAACAACATACGCTGAAAATTTCAAGCTTCAGCCGTTTCGTCTAGGCGATGATCAGTCAGTCACTCACTCACTCGTGAGTGAGATTAATTTAAATATTAAAATATTTAACACTAGAAAGACTGAAATTTTGTATATACTAGACATCTGCAAGAATGTACTCGTACAATGAATGCCCATCCACATTCATGGGTGTTAAGTTGTATTCAGAGTACACAACAACATTGAATGAGTGCAAATGAATTCAACCACCGAAGTTGTGTTGTTCTTCGTTGTGCTTTGTCCGATCAAACGATCAAACTCGAAAGCACAACATGCAGTATGATGGATTACAAGAACATGTTATACAACATCAATGAGTCCAGTGAGTGAACATCATGCATTGTATTTTGTATTCTCTGTTTTCATTCAACGACTTAACATTAATGGTGCGCATTCATTGTACAGGTACATTCATGCAAATGTTTACCTCTTACACTCTTTAAAACTTTATCAGTGAGCAATAGTGAGAAATAATATCTTTTATTTTTTTTTTCTATTAAATGCAAGTAATTAAAAACTCTAGAAAAATAAGTAAAAGTTGAATGAAATGACGTAAGAAAAACGTCGGAATCTTCCTTAAGGGATATACAAAAATAGACCTATGCAGAAAATTTTCCCAAATATTGCAAATTAGAGTACAAAGTTATATGAGGAGTACAAATAAGTATTTGTGGAAATACATACGCAATTTTTTTTTGCGACTTTAAGACTTTTCATTTGTTTTTCATGTTTTCGTGGCCTTAGGTCATTTTCTTACAAATTGTCTCTCATTACATTTCTTTATTCCTGTAATAAATGTGTACTTTTGTTGATTTTTTACATGCTAATATTATTAAGTAGAGTAAAGATTGTTTATTAAAAAATATGAATACAAATAAGTAAAACGTCCTTAAGTTCGACAGGGCCGACCTTTTTATGCTCACCGCCGTGATGTGAACAGTCAAATTCTTAAATTGATCGGTATTTTTATATGGGTTTTATGCCATGGTAAATAACTACCAAGAGAAATATAAAAAAATACAGGCTATTGGAAATTTGGGATAGGACCTTGTACATACCGTAATCCTCAAATTGTCAAAAATTTGGTGTACAGTTTTGTGGGGTATATACCATATCGCGGACAGATAACGATAATTTTTTGTAAAAAAAGGATTGGACACCCAATGAGAACCAAAAAACCCCCTCTGGCCGCCCCCCTGGGTACCTCCCTGCCTCATAAATACCTAAAATACCAAACTACAGACAATTCGGCTGAAAATCATGTCCAAAATCCTAAATATGAAATGTTGACTTAAAGCCTTTACGTGATGTTAAGTCAGTGACATGTGATAAATTGGACTTAGCGCCTTTACTCATTAATACAAAACAACAATAACAGAAGAGATAAATATATTTATTTAAATATATATATATATATATATATATTGAAATCTAAACCGATTTCATCGAAACTTGTCACAAATTAAGTTATACTAATTTCAGTATGTTTTGTGCATATCGGCCACATTTTGAGATCTTGGTGCATCATTTACTTAAAATCGGACGAACATATATATGGGGGCTATATCTAGATCTGAACCGATTTTCAGGAAACATAACACACATCATTCTAGACCTAATTCAGTACGCTATGCCAAATTTCGTGCAAATCGAAAGATATTTAGGGAGTTTGGCACACCATTTACATAAAATCGGACGAAAAGATATATGGGAACTATATCTGAATCTGAACCGATTTTCACGAAACTTAATACACATCATTCTAGACCGATTTTTCCCAATTTGAATAAATACTAAAAAGGAACCATGTGTCTATCTAGTTTCCTTTTGCCTGTTTTAAAAAATTGGCTTTACATATAAGGGGGCCAATATTGATTACTTCTCGGGAGGATATACTTAAAAGTGGACTGAAAAAGGCCATTTTGGATCGTAACGGTTTAGTTTTGTATCTCGACCAGGGTTAGCCAACAATACATATGCAAACTGCTATGATTGTGTTGGACACACGCATAGATCCGTTGGGAGAGTAATTTTCGCTCTCTCGGTACAGATCGTCTATGTTAAAGCATTGCAAAGCATACGACATGTTCGATGTCGAGAATAATGTTGAGTTCGAACACAGAACTGTGATTATATTGGTACTCTCCCAAAGCGCCCACGGGCGCCTGTTTGGTGAACAGTGATCTCGACACCCCCGAAGGTAGTAATATTACAACAGAAGTACATACGGACTAACTAATAATGAGTCTTAACATACTATAGGTTATAAACTGACAATTTGTAGTACTGAATATCCCCCACACTGTGGGTTATCTAATTCGAACCCAAATTAAAACGAATTTTATATGTTTAAAAGTGCGTTTAAAAACATCTAAATATTGAAAAAAGAGAAGTAGCGCTATATAGTGGATACATTACTAGATATTCATAAATGTTGCCCTTATTAAGAATATATATACTTTATATGGGCGGAAATTAATATTTCGATGAGTTACAAACGAAAAAAAAAAAACATAACATACCCTTCATAATTTTGTTGATTGTATAAAAACCATAATATATCTTCATTTAATTCGGGTAATTCGAATACTACTGTATAATTCGACACACACATTGTGTAAAACATGTTCGTGTACGAACTTGTCGCATTTGTTCAAACTTTGTGTGTTACAACATACATTCATACCGAAGTAAACATACACAATGAATACCAGTTCGTCGAGTCTGAAACGTGGATTGTATGAATCAAACGAATATACAACAAATTCGAAACTCTCATACCTGAAGCAATTCATGTTTGTTGTACCCTCACTCATTACACTTCATTTCAAACAAATTTATAGAATAGAAGCCATTACTTTGTGTGAGTGACTCATGGGTGGTGTTTTTGTGCATTCATGCAGATGTCTAGTATATACCTATATTGCCTAAAATCGGTCAAAATGACCTCTTTTTTTTTGTAAAGAATTTTTTTTTTAACTTATTTTTTAATATTTTTTACATTATTTACAATCATGCAAAACGTTGTTATTATTTGTTTTCGGCGGGAGAGCTCCCGAGTTTCCCTTTTTGAAAAATAAGAATGCGGACAAAATGTTCAAAAAAGAGGAAGTATTTACTCTAAGAGTGAAATCGACTAGAAATATACAATTTATTTTTCCCGACTTGTATGTTCGTTTGTGTTTATGGAGTAGCAAACGGTTTTCGATGTTGTTGTACTGATCTGGTCATATAAGAAATTTACTTTATACAATAATAAAAGTAGTTTGATTCTTTAATATTTCACAAGATGTCAAAATGACCGATTTTAGGCCATATAGGTATAGCACATGTGTATACGGGGAATGAAAGAGAGGAGGAAGCAGCTACTATGATTAATATACGTAGTTCTATGTGGTACAAAAAGTCAACAAATTTTAAAAAGCTGTGTCATAATATACACAATTGTTTTTGTACTTGAAATTGAAAAACCGTCAAAATGACCGCTTTCGGCAATCTAGTGTTAAGCATCAGAAAAATGTACTCATTTTTCTAAAATAAGACGAAAAGTCTGTTTGTCAGCAATTATCTGATTTGAGGCATTTTAAAGAAAAAAATCTACTTCACGTATGAAGGCAAAATTTCATATTTATTCTAGTTAGAATGTTTTCTATCAAATCTCATTAAAAATTTCGTCCTCCGAGGTAATTGGTTTTGACCATTTTGGTCGCGTTCGTGACGCTGTGCGTTGTCCAAGCGGGCCACATGGACCGTTTTACCGAAACAAGAAGCTCTATATGTTTAGTTACGTAAAATGTGTTTTATCTTCTGGCGGAAAATATAAAACTCCTGAAATGGTTTTTATTTTTGACGGAAAAAACTCATCAACTCCTCAAATGAGTCTTATTTTTGACAGAAAAAAATAGCACCCCTTATTCAGTCTTATTTTTGGCGGAAAAATAACAATCATTTTTAAAATAAAAATCAACGTTTATTTTTTTCAGTTAAAAAATAAATAAATAAATTGCCCTAAATTATTAAGGCCTCAAAATAACAGTTTTTTTATAACTATTTATAACCTTTACGGTCCTTGTTATTAATATTTCCACTGAGTTCTATGTAATTTAATCCAGATGGTTAAATCTTTCTCAATAAATTGCATTTAAAATGAAAGTCATTGTTTTATATTGATAATAGAATCTATGCCAATTGTCAGAGATTTAGGAACAGTTATATATAGGACCCATTCTATTAACAATATATGCCAATGACGTTTTAAGTATATAGTATCCTGGTTTTATAGTTTTCTTATTATTGTGAACTAAAGAAGAAGATATATCGATCGAAATACTTACTATAATTAAGATATATTGTCACTTACCTTGCGTTCGTTATCTTCTGATAAACCAAGATCTCGTCCCTGGGCAATAGCAAGACGGTTTCCTTGAACTAAGTTGCCAACCATTACCGATGCTGGACCAACCGAAGTGTCTGTAATACCACATCCAGATGAACTTAGTTTTGCAGTAGATTGGACACCTTTTAGGATGTTAGTATTAGAATGTAAATTTCCGACCAATTAAGCACATAATGTTACAGATTGGGTGTTATAATGGAAGTAATAGAATATGTATGAAATATGTAAGTGTGAATAAAAAATTATTAGCATGTAAAGTGATATATGTATGTTGTAGTATAATATGTATGTGAAGGAGTGAAAATCCCAGTGACAACATGTTATAATGTTCAAAGAAAAAATAGGGTACTTTCCCCTACTACAATAATGAGGTCTTCAAAACTCCAATGCGCGAAAGAAGAGCGCCAATATGTTTTACCATAGTAAATCTTTCTCTTTCTTTATTTATTTGCTTACGAAGATGCAAATACTTTCATTTATCTATGTAATTTCTAAATAACTAAAAACCGTTAAAAATATTCTTGTTCATTTTATAAAATTGTATTTTAAGTTCAGTTAAGTTTATTATATTTAAGAAGGTGGTCAAGGACCCGTAGACCTTAATAAAAAATTCCAAACAAACTCAAGTCTTTTGTTACTAATGGCGGTTTCCCCACAAGGGCTCATAGAGACAGGGCAAAAGAGTCCAACAGACGGTATTAAAAGACGAATTTATAAAAATAATTTATATGAGTTGAAAAACACAAAAATCTTCCAATGCACAAAATCAAAACTTTCTTTATAGCCTGGACCGACGAAAGCCTTAATTTGCATGGTCAGCCTTAATTCAAATTAACTTGCGCAAAATCAAACTGAATTTAACAATTTTAATACGGCAATGCTTTCGAAAATCAATTGATCAAATTGGGAGCATGGTATGCCAAAACAATTAACAAGGCGAATAAAAATAGATTCGCCGTAACATACCAAATTTGAAGCGAATTTCATTCCACCAATCAGAACAATGTATTTCTGAAGTTAAAAAAATGTTTATTTTTTATCATATAATTTGGTAAAATCATAAAGTTATGAATTAAAAATATATTTAAGGATACAAAAAACGATTAAAATATAATTAAAGAGATTTGACAATATATATTTCTCCAGATACCAAGCGGTGGACCAATGCTGAACATGTGTTTCGTTGAATTAAATCCTCTCAATACTTTTGTGAGAACCAAAAGTGTGATATAATAACTAAATTATATAAATTATGTTCTTAATGATTTCAGATCCATTTACACTTCGCTATAAAATGAAGGTCATAACGTATGCAAAACCTCGAAATAGTCATCTAAGATCTCATAAAAATTGTTTAAATTCTACAGAGCAGTTGGAGCCACAAAATTTTCCACAGACATAACTTCTAGTAGAATGGAACATATTTGTTTACATTTTGGGAAAAGGACTTGCTTGTATTTGAAGAGTATAACATTTAGTATTGTAAATGGGTCATTCATCACTGAAACAGTAAATATTCATACAGGTTTGGGTTTATTGCCAATAAAACAGTACCGTTCGAGTCGTAATTCTGAAAGTTTTATTCAACGGAAGCCACTGTAATTGGCGTTTTTATTAACAAGTCGATTGTCCCTCCATACGTTGTTTAATTTTCTTCTAGTCCTTGAGGATATCATTTGTTGTTTTATAATGAAATTCAAGATATGGCGCCACGAAATGTTTTCATTATACCTTGTGTTCCCGAATCGATCTATATTTATGATCACAAAGTTATGAAACAATATCATAATATTTTGTATTACTTTTGGACAGGATAGGGATTACGCTCCGCAGAAAATATTTCATATGGTTTGGCTGTTAGTCTATAATATTGTTTTAACAATTTCAAAAAATTTATTCAATTCTTGTATTCTTTTCAATTTGAAATTCAAATTAATTTTTTATCTAACTACGGCGAATTAAAATAGCAAAATTATATTTGACATATAATGTTACCATCAGCTGGCTTAATAAGGTTACCTTATTAATATACCTTGGTTTATTTGAATATAAAAATGAGGCAATAAAGGCAAATTTCCGTATTCTTTCAAATTGGTAGTTGATTTACTAACATCATAGAGAAATAATTTCGAAAAATATTGCAAACAAATCTCAATATCTTTCTACACACAGACACACAATTGGTTTCGTACAAAAAACTATTTCATAAATGCAGAAACTCTCGTCTATCAGGGGTAAATATTAATTTCAATTAAGATTTTTAATGCAATTTTAAGCTGTCTGTCTACGGCATTATCTTATATTTAGGTAGTCTTTTCTTTTTTATTATTAACCCTTGTTTATAGGCAAAAAAAGACCAAATATTAGAAAAACTTGTTATAAATAGATTATCCCAATCATCCAAATAGAGATGCCTCTAAGAGCCAAACCCAAAAAAAGCACGACCAGTTTGTTCGGAATTTTCTGCGGCTGAAATGGCTTGGTCCATCATGAATGTTAAACATTGAAGTTATACACGCGAATCAACTAATCAAACATTGATGTTTTGTGTGTGACTTTTTGGCCAAAACTAAAACTGTTATTATGCCCCCCCTTACTTTATTCTCCCTCCCAAAACTGCGTTAAGGAGATTAAAGAACATACGATACAAAATGGGTTGATTATACCAAAAATCACCCGTCAGAAGTGCTTCGGTGGAAAATCGGTGACATAGGTTTTTTATATCTAATATTATACTCGTATCCACGATTACCATTGTTATCAGTCCGGTTAGAATTTATATCCACTAAACGACGCTACTCAATGTTTTTTGACGCTGTTTAACGGCGGACGTTGACGGCTCAAGACCAATTAATATTTATCGTATAAACTAATATATATCGTAAAAACTATTGGGTCTTATGCATAAAAACGAGTAAAAGCGATGAGTTGAGTCAAGTAAGCAATTGCTCGTAAGTTGAGTTAGATCGAACAGCAACAGTTTTTCCTCAATTTCGTATGCATACAAATGAGATCAAACCATTTGCAATTACTTGAGCAAATTGAGATCAAACTTCTAATTGTTATTGAAGTGCTAACATGTCGTCAAGTGGTAGTGTATTAGAAGTTGTAGTAAATACTAATAATAAAATAGAAACTGACGATATATCTACATGCTTAGTACAAAAAATTAATAATTTGCTTGCCATTTCATTTGATCTGCATCTTTCGGGAATTTTATCCACACGCTTGCTTTGCCAGATATAAGTTTTGCAACATCCGCAATTGTTCGCGACACAATTGATTAATGTACTCCAATATCTGTGGCTATACCATTTTGGAATCCAGGATCTGCACGGAATCTTATATAGAGTCGAATTTGTTTAATGTTGCTGAGGGCACCAAAAAAATAATTCGCTAACCAACAAATGCTGCTATCATCAAATGTATGTATTTTTCATTTTATTATTACTTATATAAAAAATAATAATTAAGATTACAAACCTGTATAATTTTCTATCCTCATTTGCTAAATTTGTCTTACGCTGTTGATAACATTTTTTATTTATTTGTGGCACAAAATATTCAGCCATGATTTCTTTTTAGTGTACGCGATTCAACTAAGAGGCATGCTCAACAAAAGTTAAGCAAGAGCTCACAAAAGTAAGCAAAAGCTTGTTTTTATGCATATGAAAATGAGAACAATCTCATCCAACTTCAATTTCTAAGTTCAAACTTAGCAAGAAGAGATCAAACGCAAATACACCAAATTTTATTATGCATACGACGACAAGCACCTTTTACTCATAAAATCGAGTCCGAGCTCAAGCTCAAGTTTTATGCATGAGACCGATTGTTCTCATTGAAATAAAGAGTAAAGTTCATATTTTTACTAACAAAATTAAATATTTATAAATAAATTAAAAAATTATGGTCATGTTCTGGAATACCCGATGAGTTTTTACACTTTACACATACACTTCACCTGAGGACTGAACTGTTTTTCTACTTCTCATGTGAGTTGATGTTTTGAATTTGTAAGTAAACCAATAGTGCCCAAAATGGGTCCCATGGGCTGTTGGTGTGGTGTGCTCACACGTACAATTATAAAAGAGAAACCATAAAAAATAAAAAATATTTTCAAAATTGTCTTTCATTCATTTTTGTTTTCATACGATAACCGAAAAAATGGGGACATTTTTGACAAACATTAGTTCGCAACAAGTCGAATTATGTGACCAATCTATGGCGGAAGGACAAAACAGAAACAAATATATTTTTGTGTGGGAAAATGTATCATCAACAACCATATTTGCATTGAATATAATTTTTTTCTTCCTTAAAAATTTAAACTAATATTTGTACAAAATTTCTCACAGCATATGACATAGAAACAGAACTTTTCAAAATTTTGTATTTGAGGGTCGTACCTAATTTATTGCGCTCCGTACAAAAATACTCACCTTTTAAGGTTTGATAGACGTCCGTATTAACCAAATACGCAAAGACTTTATTTGCATCTATGCCAATTGAAAACAACGAAAATGGATGAACATATTTTTATAATTGATCGAAATATGCTTCTTTTCATAAAAACACAAAATTCTATTTTCAAAAAACAAAAAATTCAAAATACGCATTGTCAATGTTGAAAATTTTCAGCTTTATATTTTGATAACCAATGCGTATTTGCGTAACATTCATTGAAATACATGTATTTAACTTTTTAACTTAATAACGTTTACAGAACTAAATATTAAGTATCCTATATGTATGATTACATTAGAGTAACTTCCGGTAATGTGGACCATGCGTCAAATGTGGACCTCCCCCATATCTAAGAAAATGCTTGAAATATTTCAATGCTGCCTTGATAAATATTTTCCTTATTAGTGAAAACAAACATCAAAATTGGTTTTTAATAAATAATCGCAATGTTGAAAATGTAGTAGTAGAAAATGTAGCTCTGATTGCAAAAGTGTGATTTGAACATTTTTTAGCACAATAGTCGAACGTTTTTGCAAAATAGTCGAACACTTTGTTTATCTCAAATATAAAGAAGTTATTATGTGGTTTTTCTTGTTTTCTTTAACAAAAATATACGTTTAGCCGTAATTACAATCGGCGATTTTTAATTTTTATT